TATCCCCAAGCCCCTCTCGGCAGGGCTGCTCTCGATCCTTTTTCCCCCCAGCCTGCACTGATGCACCTGGGTCAGGGTAACCCCCAGTATGACCTTGCACTTGGCCTTGTTGAACCTGATGAGGTTCACACAGGCCCACCTCTCTAGCCTGTCCAGGTCTCTTTGGATGACATCCCGTCCTTCTGGCGTATCAACCGCACCACTCAGCTTGGTGTTATCTGCAAACTTGCTGAGGCTAAACTTGATCTCACTGTCTAAGTCATTGATGAATATATTAAACAGCACCGGTCCCAGTACAGACCCCTGAGGGACACCACTCATCACTGGTCTCCATCCAGACATTGAGCCGTTAACCGCTACCCTCTGGATACGACCATCCAACCAATTCCTTATCCACCAAACAGTATATCAAATCCATAGCTCTCCAATTTAGAGAGAAGGATGTTGCAGGGGACCGTGTCGAATGCTTTGCAGAAGTCCAGATAGATGACATCCATTGGTTTTCCCTTGTCCACTGTTGTTGTCACACCATCATAGAAAGCCACTAGGTTTGTCAGGCAGGACTTGCCCTTGGTGAAACCATGCTGCCTATCTCAAATTACCTCCCTGGCCTCCATGTGCCTTAGCATAGCTTCTAGGAGGATCTTCATTAATTGAAAGTTTGCAGAGTTCTTAACTCAGTAGTAAATAACAAAGCCAATTATACATACTTACATATGACTACATATATTATGTTACCACACTAAGAGGCACCCTCTTATCATTTTCTAATTATAAATTGTATGTAATGAAGATTTATCAAATGTACCTAAATCCTGTTGACAAACCCAGGTACCAGAACAGTTGGAATGTAACTCCTAACTTCCCTTCATAATTATTCACTGTTGACGTCTATATTTTTGCAACCTCTTTTAAAAATAATACCCAAATAGCCTCAAACGTAGTAAAAAACTGCTGGTCTAAGGCTATTTGTGATGCACAATCTGCTACTCAAGAGCAGCAAATACTTTAAGTAATGTGAAAATTAAAATTTCTAGCAGAACAGCAAACCAAAGGGTGTTTTAAGGAAGCACTGTTGGGAGGAGGAAAAACTGGTTCTAATAATGGAAATATAAGCCCTTTATTGTAGCAGAGCACCTGTTGTAACTGACTCATTCTTTAACTGTTCATGCAGGTATTCACCTGCATCAAAATGAGCAGTCCCATTGCCTTCTGTGAACTACTCCCATTCAAAAATAATCATGATGACTCAATAGAGCAGCAGAACAATACACAACTGGCTGCCCAAAAGCTGTCTTCAACCTTTCTTAACTCCGGGTCAAGTTTAATTAACTCAAGCTTACTGCTGGCTTGACCCAGTGGCACAGCATTTCCTTCCCTGGAAACTAGCACGCCGTGAGCTCAGAAAATGGGAAGTGAAAGTTTCTTCAGACCTGTCACTGGTTTACTCTAAAATACTTTAAAGCACAACCTATAACAAGAACTCTAGCACGACAAAGCAACAGGGATGTCCACGTGAGAAATTTCTCTGAAAGCAGCAGTAAACAATGGCAGAATGTGCCCCAAATCTGCGAGTTGATGCTACTACCTGCATCTCCCACACTGACAGCTTGACACAGCCCTGGTGTGTAATAGCTCTGTTCAACCTTCTAATGGACAAGTTAGAAGTTCAACTTTTCAGTTAAATTGACTGTAGCAGGTTGGGTCTTCACAATTACTACCAACTTGTATTGAGCACAAGATATTACTAAGTTTTTCTTTTTCTTTGATGTGAGACAACTGACCACAAATAGATTTCTTGAATGCAAATTCAGCTTCAGATCTGAGAACCACGCGAGTTCTCTCGTTTCTTATATCATTACATGTAATAAAAATATCTGAGCCAAATTTTGCCATGAGCTACACTGTGCATTCAAAAAAAAAAAAAAAGAAAAAAAAAAATGAACCCCCTGTCTTCTAACAATCTGAGCAACAGCAGAGTCAGATTTTAATTTTGTGCTCATGTACTTGCAGAGAGGATAAAAAAATGTGGATGATGCCCAGATACAGTAGAAATTATTAGTCTGTTAGACAGTTTCTTGAGTTACTACAATAAACATTTTTGTTAGTAAAGAAAAAAGTGCAATGTAGATCCACCTAATGAGGACTTCTCTTAATATAGGAGTTTTCAGTATATAATTTAGCGTTTCATCACACCACTATAAAAACATGGTTAAGAGGTGACCAGAGAGAAATTGCTTTTCCCTCTGCTGGAATGCAGCAGCTGTGCAACAATTCATGGGAAAACTACCCTGTGAGGAGGACTGTATCATCTCTGTTTGAAACTGAAAGCACAATTTGAGTAAGCGGAATAATATAATTATGTAACTTGGGATTTTGCCAGAGCATCAAGCTTAATGCTTCATCAAGCTTCTCAGAACACTGAAATGGATCTTTAATACCCAGAAAAGCTCAGGACCTTCCCAATAAGGTCTTGCCGGGTCCCTCCTGCGCCCCATGGCTGAGCAGAGCACAGGAGCGCTTAGAGGGAGCAGGCCACCTCCCACAAACGCAGCCCCATGGGGTTCCACGCTGCCTTCGACCAACTGCGCTTACGTCCCTCCTTGCTTAATTCGTCATAACTGACAATCACATTGATTTGAAGAGCCTGAAATACTCAACTGATAATCCAAGGCAAGGGAATGACCTTTTCTAACAGGATATGCTGACCTTTGAACATTGTAGAAAGAATTTAACATTCAAACACATAGCACCAAACCACAAGGAAATCAAAGCTTCGCCTCTCACAATCATGTTCAAGACTGTAGCGAACAGCCCTACTCCTTAAGCAGACGGAATCACAAGTTGTAATTATGCATCTAATTTAGTTTGTAAAATCTAGTGGGTCTATCAAGTGGGTTAAAATTGCTTCCATAAAGTGCCTGAGCTCAGACAATGGAGTACCACATGGGTACCTGGAGGTTCAGACTGGCATCATTGTGCACGATGGGGAGAAGACCTGAGTTAAGTGGAGAACGCGAGCGGGGCTGGAGGGGCTCTTGAGCATGGGAATCCCAAGGTCACCAGCCTGGCACAGCAGCCCCAGCGATGGACGGGCCAGGAGGGCTCAGACCTCTCCTGCCCGCTGTGCAAAGCTTTGCAACACGCTCCATGCACAGATCCAAACATCTCCTTGTTTCAGTACTTTGGGATCCTGAGCAAAAGCTCTCAGCCTCGCCTGATCAGCAATTCTAGGGAAAAGACATCCTACATTAAATACCCTAAGATCCTT